CACAAAGCTCACTAGCTCTTTGAGCTGATGTGATGGCTACAAGGAAGGCAGTCTTCCAGGACAAAAGACGTAAGTCAATAGTTGCCAGAGGTTCGAAGGGTGCTCTGGTAAGTGCTTGACGTACAACTGAGAGGCTCCAAGTAGGCATGACAGGATGAATTGTTGGATGGAGATTCTGTAGTCCTTTGATAAATCTTGTAATAACTGGTTGAGAAAAGACCAATGAGCCCTGCATGGAACCGCGGTAGTGGGAGATCGCAGCTGTATAGACCTTGATTGAAGAAGGGTTAAGCCCTGAGTGATGTAGCTCGAGAAGAAACTGTAGGATGTTTTCAACAGAAGCTGAAGAGGCGACAAACGAATTGGATTCCGCGAAAGATAAGAATCGATGCCACTTTGCTGCATACGATCTTCGCGTTGATGGTCTCAAAGCAGATTCGAGAATGTGCTGGATATCTGGATTGAAAGTACTTGACCCCAAAGCATGGTCTATCGGATCTGAGTGAATGAGTGATGCATTGGTTCTGTAACTGGCCAATCCAGGAGGCCGTGGAATCGTCGGTACCGAGTTGGTATCGTGAGTCATTGAATTCGCCAAGCTGTGAGGCTCAATGAAGTCAAGTCCGGATGACGAACAGCTCCGTCTTGCTGCGTTATCAAGTGAGGTATAATCAGTAAGCAGAGAAAAGTGTTGCTGGACAGTTGGAAGAGAATGGAGAACTATGGTTGACGGGGCCACCAGGGTGTGATCAGGATCCCTGTAGCATTGTTGTGAATGATCTTGGAGATAGCCTTCGTTATCAGTGGAATTGGAGGGAAGGCGTAAAAAGTGATGTTGGACCATGGAACCATCAGGGCGTCCCCTGTCGAATCTGATCCGATGCCGGCCTGAGATCAGTATGCGTCGCATACCCTGTTCTTGTGGGTAGCAAACAAGTCTATTTCTGGGTGTCCTCAATGGAGGAAAAGCTGATTGCAAATTTGATGATCCAGCTCCCATTCATGAGTCGTTGACATCCGCCTGCTCAAATTGGCTTCTTTGTTGTCGGTACTGGCTAGGTGAACCTCCAGAGGAGTTATGTGTTTTGAAATATATCAGTCCCAAATCTTCATCGACAGATGAGCTAGAGAAGTGGATTTTGTGCCGCCCTGTTTGTTCACATAGAACACAGCGGCAATGTTGTCGGATGCAACTTGAACCACGTGTCGCTGGACAGTGCCCTTGAAAGAGCGGAGGGCCTTGAAGATCACCAGAAGCTCAAGACAGTTGATGTGTTTGGCAGATTCCTGTCAGTCCCAAGTGCCCTGTGTTCAGAGCCCTGAACATAACGGTCCCCAACCGATCAGAGATGCGTCTGTATAGAGAGTCAGAGTTGGATGAGGTGGACGAAACGGAACACCCACATTTAGATTGTTTGGAACTGTCCACCATAATAACGTGTGGAGGACAGACAGCGGGAGGTGGTTTGTTGGGCAGATCCCGTTGTGGGTGGAACTTCTTGTAGAAGAACAATTGAAGTGGTTGCAGTCGAAGTCTGGCATGAGGGACTGTGGCAACCGAAGCGGCCATGTGACCAAGGAGCTTCTGTATCGAAAGAGCCGGAACAGTCCTGTCTTGTCGAATTCGATGGATCCATGAGCATAGATTGTCTTGTCAACCCGGTGGAAGAAATGCTCTCGCTAGGGTGGAGTCAAGGCGTACTCCAATGAAATCGATCACCTGTGAAGGAATAAGGGACGATTTCTCATGATTAATGCACAGTCCCAAATCTTCCAGAAGGGTACAAGTTATATCCATGGCTGAAAGAAGGCCTTCCCGAGGCAGGGAAACTATTAGCCAGTCATCCAGGTAAGGGTACACTTGGATACCTTGAAGTTGAAGGCGTGCACACACTGGGGCCATACACTTAGTGAAGACCCGTGGTGCAGTGGCTAGTCCGAACGGAAGGACATTAAACTCGAATATATCAGAACCGACCATAAATCGTAAGAGACGCCTGTGAGAGGGTGGACAGAAATATGGAAGTAGGCATCTCTTAAGTCCAGGGAGGTGAACCAATCCTCTCTCCTCAGCAACGGAAGAATATTTTGAAGGGTAGTCATCTGAAACTTCTTAGGCTTGATGAACCTATTAATATCCCGTAAATCCAGGATCAGACGGACACCACCATCCCACTTAGGGACAGTAAAGTATCTTGAATAGAATCTGTGAGTCCCTCAGAATGTGTAAGCTGTCGGATCGCTCCTTTATGAAGCAGTTGGAGAACTTTGTCCACTAGCACTGATGAGCGAGATGTAAATTGGATCGGACCCGACGGAGGAACGATGTCGAATTCTATTCTATATCTGAGCTGAATAATGGATAAAACCCACCAATCAGATGTGATGGACTCCCAAATGGAGAGTCGACTTTGGAGCAGATCCCCAAAAGGGAGAGGGGAGGGTGGGTGTAGGAGAAGAGGAGAGGTTTGCCAGGCCCATCAGCGTTGACGCTTCTTGGAGTCTCTGGAAGCGGTGGCGGCTCTGCTGGAAGCGTTGTTGTGGAGGTTGCTTCTGACGCTGCTGGTGGGGCTGGAGTTGCTGTCTTCCAGGGAACTGGGAGTATTGCTGAGGTTTATAAGACGGGTGGGACCAGGACCACTTTCGTTGAGGCTGAGCTGGAACCTCCATCCTCGACTCATGGATGGACTTGAGCTTGTGATCTGTCCTCAAATGAAACAGGCTGCAACCATCAAATGGCATTTCCTCGATGTGTCGCTTCATCTCCTCAGGAAAATTGCAGCTCCAAAGCCATGCGTGGCAATGGAGGGAGATGGCACCGACCAGAGCCCTGGAGTCGGAGTCGATGTGGTGCCTCGCCGTAGATAATTGTTGAATAGAGACCTGCATGGCTTCTTAGATGAACACTCATGCCAGGTCTCTTTGCTGGTCCGGTAAAGAAGCAGTGATGTTGTCAAGCTTCTGCATAAGGAAGTATTGATACCGGGCCAGCGTTGTTTGTAGTTAGAGATATGAAGGCCAAGTCCAGAGGCTGCGTAGACTAGACGTGCCAACATATCAATCTTCTGACCCTTCTTATCACGAGGTGCAGTATGGCCCCTCGACTCTCGTCCTTGGGAAGGTTCGACCACTACTGAGTTCGGTTTCAGGTGGTGCAGGAGAAATGGTATGCCCTGCTCCCAAACTCGGTACTTCGCCTTGTACTGATGCGACGTAGGCTGGGGTTGAGTTGGTAGGTCCCAAGGTTGCACCATGGCTTGACAGAGGGTCGTTATCAGGGGCAGGATGATGGCAGCAGATTGTTCACCCCTCACAATATCATAAAACTTGTCAGTGCTAGGGTTGATACGATGTTGTGCTTCGATCTCTAGCAACCGGACAAGTCTTGCCATCAGTTCTCTGAAAGTGACATGAGGTTCTTCCGGTGATCCTGGCCCCTGAGTTGTAATAGCCACATCTGGCGAGGTCAATGCCACCTTGGATTCATCTGAATCGGACCTGTATTGCAGCAGGCCACTGGAAGAGGAGTTCACTGGCGAGGTGGGGTGTCCCGATCCCATTGGTCTGGAGGTAGACGGAGCCCCTCTTGGTACTGGAGAAAGCATACAGTCCCGATCTGATGGATAGTAGGTGTAGGAAGGGTAGTCATCCCAACCTCCATGGTGGCTGCCATAATGGGGCTGGCCGCATTCCTCCAAGAGTTGGTCGGAGGAGTGACGTCGGTGCCGTGGTTGATGGGAGATGGGTCCCACGGTTGCCCCAGGATATGGCATCGGTATAGGAGAACGAGCCACCGGCGGAGAATTGCAAATCTCCCCATCAGAGATGGATTGACGCAATAGCACATTGGGTCGCTCGGGGGACGAATGCATCAAGTGTGTGACCCATCTAGGAGACCCTGGTGGAGTAAACTGCATGGCAATCTGCAGGGTCGGGCCTGTTGGCATTGATACCGTTGCGGCTGTTGGGACCGATGGTATGAACCCGAATCGCGGTGTCAAGCTTGATCGGGTTTCCTAGGCTTGTGGGCCATCTTATCTGACTTATCCTTCTTTGGCTTTTTATGGCCAGAGGATTTTTCAGAGCTGCCATGTTACCTCTTCTCCTTTTGTTTATGAGGAGGAGGAGAAGGTTGTTGAGTCTCCATAACCGGGGCACCATCAGCTGATGGGCACGGTGGAGGCGCGGCAGAAGCAGAAGCAGGCTTAGCAGCCAGTTGGTCAAACTGCATGAGGGCCTGGTCCCACAGCATTTTCCTCAGGCGGTTTTCTCGGTTTTTACGTGCCTGTTTAGTAAAGGACTGACAATGGCTGCATTTGTCAGTTCTGTGTCCCTCGCCCAAGCAGAGGAGACACAGATCGAGTGGGTTGGTAGGGGACATTTTTGACCCACACTGGGAATATTTGAGGAAAGCCGCCCGCTGCGCCATTGGAAAGAGGAAACAAGAAGGAGAAGATAGTAAAGAGGGAAAGATAATCTTTTTTTTTTAGAAAGTTGAAGAGTAAAACGGGGGAAAAGACTTGAATGGGAGGAAAAAACTTGCAGATATGAGATAATAACTATCAACAAGGAGCAAGATAATAATGAGGATCAATACAGGCAAGAGATAAAGGCTCGAGGCACAGTGAACGGTGGTCGCAAAAGACTGAGAAAATGGCAGACACTGCTCCATTTATATTGTTGAGGGGGAGGGGAGCGGAGTTTTTCCCACCAAAAACCCTTAGCTTTGTAATCTTTCCAGCCTTAGGCACTGTGCAGACGCAGCACCCATATGTGTGATGCACAGAGGCCACGATGAAGAACTGTATGTTGTTCACATTAACAACTTGTCCAAAATTAGGTTAACAAGTCAAAACGTACCCCATCATGTGTGGACATTGTACGAATCTTCTCTTGGAAGAAGTACTGTATCCTCTTAGATACAGATAATGTTTATGTTTAGATAGATAAATTTCTAGAGTATTATGCAAAGACAATTATTTCCCTAATATTATCCTAACCTGCTAAGTGGAAAGAGGAGCTGGAATTCTAAAAAACAAATATTTATGTCAAAATTATGCACAAAACAGATGATAATCTTGAGAGGATTTTCTTTTGAACAAATTCAGGAACAGTAATTGCTTAAAGTTTTGTGATTGTAAAAAGCTACTTCAGTGCTTAAGTTTACTTCTGTTTGAGCTGTCAGCACCGTGTCTAAAGAACCTTGTCTAAAGAACTGTGCCTGAGAAATAAAGTCAGAGGAATACAAGGTGAGTTAAGAACATTTTTTTCTGTGAAATTATCTCTGGACCTCTGTATCAGCATACTTTATTTGCAGAGTTAGTTACTTGGACACTTTTTAAGAAGAATGCATACTTGTCCGTGATCTTTAATCTATTTATTATATAATTATTTAGTCAATTTCTAATCTACCCCATTACTAATGTTCTTTGAGCGGATTACAACCAGTTTAAAAGTTTTCAGATCAAGGTTTTATTTTTGTATACATCAAAGCAGCCAGGTTTTGCCAAAAGTGAGCAGAAATCTATACAACTACTTTGAGGCAGATGACTGACTGGAAAGATGCATACGAAGCATTCTTAACACATACTTTCTCTTAAAAAGTTTTATATTTGTTCATGCAATAGCACCTGAAATCTGTATAGGTTTGATGTGAATTATTAAACATGTGTCTTCCCACAGTGTTTTTGATGGCCTTTTAGCTCACACAATGAACAAACTCAACCAAACGTAACTTAACATCTGTGAGAAGAGGGACACTAGGGAAAAAAGACCCCACAATATAAAGGATTATCTACCCATGCAGTAAGTGTTAGGTCATATAGCAAATAAAAGGGCATTGATATAGAGCAGCAAGTCTACAATCTACCCGCCTACTTTTCCATCCTGAACACAATAATAATATGTTATATCAATAATATGTTTAGCAGCTGTTCTTGCCTGATCATCACAGATATAAAGGCAGGGAAAAGGAGAGGGTGATCTTTCCATTTTCAAGCACATACCCTTCCCTGATGGAAATCCCTGTATAGCTATTCTTTCCAAGCTACTGAATTTTAGAAATAAAATAAATGCAAATAATTAAAAAATGAAGAAAGCACCAAACCCCTTTGTAGCATCACATACTATATAATCTTACAGCTGTCTCCAATTTAGGCCCATTTATTCCTAGTTTGAAGCAGCACTGCACTGTACCTTCCTTGCAGCTCCAGTCTAATTCAAAAGAAAATAAAGATTTCCTGTAAGGTTTCTAACATCCTGTATTTTCATTTCCTGAATCACCCATTAAGCTATTTGCATACTCCTCATATGAAACAAAGCCTATTTTAATATGTAAAATGTAATGCAAAACAAATCCATATTTTAAAGAAAGAAGAGTTCTTACCAGGAACCCATCAGTGTACTGGAAATGAGCTCTGGAAGGGTCTTCGGCTGTTGGGCTCAGAGGCTTAGGGTCAGACAAAGAGCGCTGCATCACCTTGGCAGACTTGGGGCTCAGCGGAGGAACCTTGGTGACATCAGCATGCAGAACCTTCTGAGGACTAAGGTCTTCAGCAATAGGCTTTTCATAGGGCACAAATGCTGACTCTATAACTGCAGCCGGAGAAACAGGTGAAATGGGAGAATAGAGTACTTTGGGGGATTTGGGAGGGGAAGGGGCTACCTGAAGAGTGGGTTCTGGTCGGAGGTGGGCAGAATAACCTATTTCTAATGGTGTTGGACGCTTTTTATCTTTCTGAGGGGAGGTAGCTGTGTGGTATGGAGGGCTTTGGGAGTCTGAATCTGTTTCTGTCTGACATCCCAAACTTCCTCCTTTGTATGTCTTTTCTGGAGCTGAAATGTGTTTTATTATTTCTATCTTTGCATCCAACTGAGCTCTTACTGATGGGGTCCTAATTGTCCCTACAGGCTCTGTTTGTACAGAGATCTCTGCCACGGTCTGCACTGCAATGCTGGAGACTTTGGAAAATGGCTTAGACTTGTCCACCTCAGTGGTACCTTCATATTTCCCCACACGAGTCTTCCTCCTTGCTCTGCTGGAAGGATCCCATTCCTCTTGGTCCTCATCATCCGTCTGAACACTTGTATCAACACTCTTTTTCGTTCTCCGTCTCCTATCTGCATAGGCAATGTCTGCACTATCTTCATCGTCAGTCTGAACGCCACTCTCTACTATCTTTTTAAGACACCTGGGCTCTTCTTCCATGGCATTGCTCAGTTCCTCATATGGGCCACGCAGCTTTGGCATGGAACTTCTCTTTTTCAACTGTTTTTCCTCTCTCACATCAATGTCTTTAAGAGACAACTCTGAAACAGAAGTTAGCATGCCTGGCCTGGGAATGTACTGAGTAACACCATCAGACTGAACTGTGTACCACGCTTGGCTTTCTGGAATTTCAATCTCCAGTACAGCAGATGCACTGGTGGTGGCTTCATCACCAGTCCAATACTGGCTGTTGGCTGCAGCATACTGACCTTCAAGCATAACTTGATCTGTGGTTGTTTGTGGGGACACAGTTCCAGAAGGGTCATAATTATACTGATAGATCTGGTGTATCTTTTGTTCTTCTAAGTGCTGGTGAAGCTGCTGCTGAAGCTGCTGGATTTGTTCAATGTGTAGTTGCTGCTGAGCTAGTGTTTCCTGTCTCATCATGAACTGAGCCTGCCTCTCTTCCTCTTGTTGATACAGGAGGTGATGCTTCATCGAATGCAATTCTTCCAGCTTCTTTTGAACCATGAACTGCTCTTGTTCTCTGAACCGTTGTATTTCTTGACGTTCCCACTCTAGTTCTTCTGCAAAACGCTGCTGCTTCAGTTTTTCAAGCTCTAGAAGCTCACGTTCTAAGTCAAGATGCTGTTGTTTGCCTTCTTCAGGGGCAATGAGGAGTGCAGCTTCATCTTCAATTACATCTACAAATGCTTCAGAAGCTGTAGTGAAGACAGGCATTAAGGTGGTTGGCTCAGTTGTAATAGTTTCTAAAGGAAGAGGTTGCAACCCTGGGTCAATGTCAATGCCAGTAAGTGCACTATCTTTTTCAGAGGCCACCGTTGTCAGGAAATTGTATGATCTTGGAAGTACCTGGCTCTGCTGTAAGCTTGATAATGAGGGCATTGTGTCAACTGTATGGAGGGCAGACAGGTCTCTAACAGAAGTACTGAAAATAGAACCAGGTTGTGTGGTGATGGCAAATGTAGATGGCACTGGAGTTGCAACTGAGGAATAAACCACCCCATTGGATGATCTCAAAACACTTCCAAGGCCATATGGAGATCCTAATGATGATACTATTCTTGCTTGGGAATATTGAGGTGCACTGATCCCAATACCAGAAATCACTTGCCGAGTCTCTGGATAAGGACTAGCAATCTTGCTTGAATAATCCACAATTTCACCTGAAAGTACAGGGCAGAATTATAGTCCAGTCCCATCAAACAAAGCTTCTGTTCGTGGATTGTGAAAGCCATCCCATAAAGTTGAATTTAAATGAGTGGAAAAATGGGGGGAGGGCTGCATGCAAATCTTCATTTTAATGATCTACTTTAGCAGTGCAGAGGGAAGGGGGAAAAAAAGCATTTTTCTGAACATGCAGGCACATGCAGGCACCTCTTTGTGAAAAACAATTTATATAAAATGAAGAAACAAAAAAAATGCATGTGTAAATCCCAGCATCGTTTGCCATACTGTCCAACAGAGTTCAACAAAAAGAGGAAAAATAAATTAAATTAAAATGATTCATCCGGAAATGAGATGAGCAACCCCGTTACTATATTTCATAGAAAGATCGGATGCCTTGTCATACTGACCTGTCGTTACTCTGCCAGATGTTAAGTCTACTGCTACATCAGTTGTCCCGACTTGGTACTCAAATGCATTCTTGCTTTTGTACAGAAAAAGTCCCGCTTCTGATAAATTGGTATCTGACATTGAAGGTTTCATACCCCCAATGCCTCTATAACTATAGGACCCTGAGCGGTCATACTGATAGTGATCATCTCTGTAACCAAAACGATCTTCGGGTAATGTTGTTGCAGGTGCTTGAGCTGTACAGCTCCTGCCAAATGGCAACTTATAAATCACATCACAACAAACAGCCCTTCTCCCTGCAGTCAGGTCCACAGGTTTTTCATCATCTTCTATTACAGTGGTAACAATTCCGGAAGTAGTTTTATCCACCGAGACCATGGTTCTGTGGGATTTTGTGGTGCGGAGGTCAACTACTTCACTCTCCATTGAATCAAGAGTAGTGGAAGTATCAGTCCAACCACTGGTTACACCCACCAGAGGTACAGTAACAGGCTTTGTAGTGGCCCAGGTAACTGCATGAGCTGGAGTACTAAGGGACAGATTTATTGGCACTTCGTCCCTGCTGGCAGAGAGTGGCTGACTAGCAGTTACTCTAGATCCAGGTTCAAAATGTTTGGATGTTGTCAGCTGCAGTGGTGTTGTCATTGCATGCCCCAGATCTACCAAACTTTCTGTACTTGTACTATAACTTACAGTAGCTGTGCAAGTCACAATTGTAATTGTTTCAGAGATTGGAGCTGTTGATACAGTACTAAGATTTATGATAGCTGGTTGAATGGTGCTTACTGGCCGGCCAGAAGTGTCACTTGTCATAATTTGCTTTCTCACATCCGTAGGGGCAGCAGAGAGGTCCATACAGCTGTCTGTCCTTTCAATGTCTATCTTTGTCAAGGTGCGAAGATCAATGACATCTCCAAAAACATGAAATCTTCCATTCTCTCTATATCTGGGTGGTTCTATTAGATGTGCTGGCTCAGGGGGAATAGTTATGGAAACACTACCTAAACCAGCATTTTTGACCAAGGACACTGTAGTCCTAGCCATCTCTGTTGTTATTAACTCTGTTGTTGAACTAGGAACTATCTCAAAAATGGACCGTGCAGTGATAGGAATAGAAGGAATACTTTGCAAAGCACCAGGAACATACTTTCTTTGGTCAGTTATGCTTTGCATTTGCAGAGCACTCACAGATGGAGTAAATAATGATTCTACCATTTGAGGAGCCTGTTCTTTCAGAGGTGATGCTGAAGGCCAGCTGGTCACTGCCTCGCAGGTTATAGGCTCTGTCGGAGTTCCAGGTTCAGAGGGCAATGTGATGACAACATAGGTTTCCTGAGAGGGTTTAGCCAATCTTGGAGAAGACTTATTAGAATGTGGAGACAATGGGGATGTAGGGGATGCCAACTTGTACTCAGCAGGGGAAACTAAGTTCAAAGTCATGCTACTGGTTAAAGGCAAACCTGCTGGTTTGGGCTGTGTTTCTGCTGGTTTATGAACAGTGGCTGGCAGCTGAGGAATGATTGGTTTGGGAGCAATGGGAGGTTTTATGATTTCAGCAGATCTGTGAGTGAACACAAGTCCTGCTGGAATTGAAGCTGGCTTGGGTGGGACAGGAGGAGGGGTTGCTGTGTATATTTTTGTGACAGGTGACCCGCTGGGTTTTATAGCAAATGTTGTCTCTGCTGTTTTGACACTGCTGACAGATGGTAGCACGGTGGGAATTGCTGCCACTGGAGCCTTAGGCACTGGCTTCTTTTTAGGATAAACAGCTGGCTTAGGCAGAATAGGTGGGGGAGGAGGGGGGGGAGGGGGAGGGGGAGGGGGAGGTGGTGGCAGCGGTGGTGGTGGTGGTGGTGGCAGAGATGGCTGAGCAGGGAGAGAGGGAGAGGGCAGAGACGGCCAAGCAGGAGAGTCTGAAGAAGAGCTTCTGAGAAATGAGGATGTTTTGGAAGCAATTGTGGAAGCTGAAGAAGGTTCAGGTGGCAACACAGACATAGTAGAAGGAACAGAAAATAATACTGCTGCTGGTTCTGTAGGTGGAGCTGTATACATACATTTCTGGTCAGATTTAACCTCTGTTATACTTGTTGATGTTACACTAACAAGGGCTCTTGCCTGATTGCTTTCATAAAGCCCCTTCACAACATCATTTCTCATAGCTGTGTCATCTTTCGGTGGGAAAAATTCCAAGGCAGTAGAGACAAAGGGCTTTTGCTTTGTTTCTATGGATGATGAGACAAAGTAGTCAATTTCAGACTGAGAAACCATAACCTGATCTGTATGAGTTACACTTTTAGCTACAGGGGTTTCCTTAGAGGGTAGCACAATAGGTAAAGAGTTCTCTTTTGTGGAACTTATAGGAACTTGGGTCACTGAACTGGTCCCTTCAGAATCTGATAACTTGCTAATTGCATCCACTGTTTCTATGTAACCTGAACCCATTCCATCTGGCCCAGCCACAGGGGAAGAACTACCAGTGGTGTACACTGAAGATGTAGATGATGTAAGAGAAGATGTATCTGAAGGTAAAACAGATGTGGTGCTTTCTGAAGCCTCAGAATATGCCAATATGGATGTTTCATGGGCAATTATTTCTTCAATCTCCCGCGTATAATCTGTAAGATATTCATCTTCTATTTCTTCAGTTGTAAAGTGCTGAGTAATTTTAACATCTGGAATGGGAAGTACTGCGGGGCTCACTGAAGGTATGTCTTGCACTTCTGAAGTGCTTGATGTCAGTGACGTCCTGTCTGTGGTCCCTCCAGATGTACTTGTCTTTGTATCTGAGACAGAAATTGGTTCAGGAGATGACTGGGTAGGACTAGAGCCTGGGGTCAACTGCATTCCTTGCCGCTTCATTAGCTCCTCATAAGCTGCATCTGCATCCAACAGCTGCTTTTCATCACTTGTAGAGGGAGCCACACTGTCCAATACGATTATCTCATGGCTTTCAGGCATGATGTAAGAGCTAGACACAATGTCTTCTTGGGGCATAATTGAATGTAAAGGCTCTATCCTATAATACTCTTTTTGTACATTGGTAGATTTTTGCATAGGTTCTCCATATTTCTCATCAGCAGACTCTGTTTTTTTCTCTTTGTCTTTCTCTTTGCCAAAGTCATCACACTCATCTTGTTTTGTTATGAGGCTACCATCCATACCCCCACTGTATGCATCTTCTACTAAAGATTCATAAATATAGTCCTCTATTAGCATGCCTCCATACAATGGCTCTTTTTCAAACACTTCATCTTTTTCATTTGCATCTAGAAATGACTTGGCTTTTTGAGATGTGTGCAAGATTTCTTCATACACTTCTTCAGCACTTTTTATAGTCTTTTGGCTGCTGTCTTCTTTGACCAGGCCAACAGGCAGTTCTTCTGTGGGAGAATATAAAGAGACAGCTGTAGGTAACTTATAGACCTTCTGCACTTCAATTATTTTTTCAGGACTGATTTCAAAAGCTTCAGGGTCTGACTCAATACTTGGTGAATATTCAGAACAGGAAGATCGATGTAGTTCTTCCATTTCTGCTGCCTGCCGCAATTCTTCTGTTGGTGAAGCATCCTCAATGGGAGAAAGATTACTGGGTGGTGTCTTTGGCCGTTCTCTTCTTCTCTGGGCTCTGAGCTCATCCTTGTCCTTTTTAGATTTTTTGTTAGAGCTCTTTCTTTGTTGTTGCTCAAGTTCACGCTGTTTCTCTTGCTCTTTTAGCAGTTCTTCCTCTTCCCTAAGCTCTTCTTCTTCAGAAGAATCTTCAATAGTTGGAAGGAGGGGACCATGAGTTCTATGTCTGGCTTTACGCTGCTGTTTACTTTCTCCTCCCATTTTTTTGTGACTTGGACTGCTGTCACTGTCTTCATCGAGGGAAGACACAGATGTAGGTGATGTACCTGGAGTAAAACTGGAGGCATGTAAACTAGAAGATCCTTCTCCCCTTGACCTATCTTCTGGTGAATCTGTGAGACTCTCCATCTCTAACTCTGGCTCTTCATCATAATATAGACTTCTCTTTGGCTGTTCTGTTTCCTCAGAATATTTATTTGTAATTGTACTGTTAAGTTCTATAGTTTTGAAACGACGAAGACCTCCTCCTCCAGTTACAGTAATTTCTTCACTGTCTTGACTTTTTGTTTCCCTGTATTTTGGTTCTGGGCTCTCATCAAATGTCTCATCATCATCATCATGCCAGGAATGACGTCTGCCAGCATCCTCTTCATAGCCTGTGCTACTTTTGCGTGTCATCCTCTTATGTTTGCCACCAGTCCCCTTTCTACTTTTAATTTCTTCCTTCTTCTGACTTTCATTGGCACTGATTTCTTTCAGCTGATTCCTGATGAATTCCTCATCTTCGGATCCTGAAGCATCTTCATCAGCACTCATTTCCATGATCTGTTTTCTAATGAAATCTTCATCATCCCCTGAACCTGGGCTGTCTTCAGGTTTATATTCATCACTGCTTGAGGAACCAACACTTGCCCGTCTTTTTCTCTGTGGGACAGGTGAGTTCTCACTTTCACTGCTATCTTCTATGGAGTCATAACGTTGCCTTCTAGTGGATGCATCTTCTGTTGTCTCTGCCTGCTGTCTGTACCCCTTCCGAGAGGCTACAGTTTGTTTACTGCCTTCTTCAGTGGCTCCTCTATCTTTTCCATGAATATTCTGTTTTGCCAGATCTTCTTCATCAGAACTGTAGGATTCTGGTGTGATAGGCAGGAGCTTGGTTGTGTGTGAGTCTTTCACCTCTTCACTATAAAGGTCTTTGGTCTTTTTCTCTTCAGCAAGAGTACTTGCTTGAGCTTCCAAAATTGACAAGACAGTGCTCTCTAGCTTAGCAAGATCAGAGGGACTTGTTGGGCTGCTTTCTTGTGAAAGAGGTTCTTTTTTACAAGGTTCTTTTAAAACATCTTTTTCATCGCTTTGGAGAAGACTGGGAATTTCACCAAGTGAACCTGAGATACCATCAGATGAGTATCCAGTGTCACTCAGACCTTGTGGGCTTTTTTGCTGCTGTGAGCTTGATGCATCCGATTTATCATCTTCTTTCTCCTAAAATACATATGCAAACATACATTAAGACTAACAATTTCAGGGTAAATAAATAATAGTATCACCTACCAAGAATAATATCTATGTGTGTGATGATGACTATGATAAAACATTAACAGAAAGAGTTGTAGTGACTAGAACTGGAAAATGCTGCCTATGAATTGTATTATAATAAACAAACAAATTTAAGTAATACCAATGCCACTTAAAGTATGAATTCTCTAATTAAATGTAATTATGTACCCTGTAATAATTCAGATGCAGTTAACATTGACATGACTTAATGCAGTAAAAATGGGGTGCGGGGTATCTTTCAAGGATACTTTAAAATGCATAGGCATATTTATTTGAAAGTAAACCCTACTATATTCAATGGGGCTTATTCATGCTGGGATTGCTACCTGAATCCTTATCCAGTTGGATATTATCCATGCAAGATTTTGGGGCGACTTTTGAGAGACAGTAAAAATATTCAAGCTGTATCAAAAAGTGGGAAAATCATTTAGGGCTGGCATAGTACACTTGGACCCAGAAGAAACAGCTTGGTCAAATTTACTGAATGGATGTGAGCAAGTTATAGCCCTAATAGGTTAAGCTATCTAAAAAAGTTACTATGATAATAAAATGAAATAAGGATGCATAGTGCAATCTAATCTATTTTTCATCTTTTGGGCATCGTTGGGAACGGCAACAAAAAATTTTAATTTTTAAAACTATTTTAATTGAAGTGCTGTTAATTAAAGTACCAATCATCTACCCCATCTGTTCTTTAAAGATCTAGGTTCTAGTCTTGAGGGATGCAGAGAAGTTCTTGTCAAAATGAGAACAACTGTAGCAAAAGGTTAGAAATCAGCATAGGACAATTTTTGGCAAGGGTCACTTCATAGAAATTCCTTCCATAAATTTGCAGTTGCACTGATTTTTGACCAGAATTGCTGGCAAGGAGGCCGGCAAAGGAAGGCAAGTATGCTGAATGACAACATCTCTACCCTTATTGACCTTTTTCATTTGATTTTGACTTTTGTTGATCTTGATTCCCCCCCCCCCCGCCCCCAAACAATTGCTTTAGGTTAATTTTATTTTCATTAAACTGCTACATAATATTGCATCTCCTGAAATACCATTGTGTTTTTTTTCTTTTAAAAGCAAGGACTTTTGATAGTTAACCATTACTGAGTCGTGGGGTGAGTTTACAAAATAGGCCTGGTCCCCTGGGAATTTTACCCAAGTCTTGTTGTGGAATTTCCCCCTAAACAACACAACAGCAGGCATCACGGAGGTTGGGGTCCTCCAATGCTCCTACCAATGCCCCATCACACCCTATGGAAGGGCTGAGGGAGCAGGGCTGATGGTTGTCAGGCACTTTGAGCGGCTCTTCCCTGCTTCTCTGTCCTGCCAAAGCTGGGAAAGCAGCTCTGCTCATGAGCAATCCTTTCTCCTGGCATCATCAGAAGCCCAGGGCAGGGAAGCCCGAGGACTGGGCTTCCAAGTTGAGGAGCACTGTGGCTGCACCGCAGGGAGGAAGGGAAAGAGAGGAGTATCCTTCTCCTCTTAGCAAGGAGAAACACCCCTGTCCAACTCACCCGCACCCTTGCCCGGTGCAGCAGCCATACACACTACACCCTGCCAGGCCATCTGTATGGCCATGTCTCCCCAGGAGGTGGCCTAGCTGTGTGACTGTACCCCCACCCCCAGCTATTCAGGATGCTGCTGTTGAAGAAGCACATTTGGCAGGGTCTCAGCAGGAGGAGGTCTAACCAAACACCTCACTGCTGCTAGCAGTCCCCTGCCATAAATTTGTTTGGGACCTGTGGGGTGGGGCCAGCTGCACCAAGCAAAGGCAGGGGTTGAGCTGGTATCTCCCATGCATCCCCTCCTCAAAGCTCAAGTCAGCTTTGAGAGGAAGTCTGCCAGAGACACTGCCACCCGTCTCCTTAAACCCCAACTGAAAGGCATGGTAAGTTCCATTTTCTACCAAAAATGGCACTTAAGGCACCTTATAATCACTGATTAAAAACAGCAATGTGAGAATACAATTAAAAATTTAAAACCCCATGATAGAGTAAAAAACAGCATCCAGTTCAACACACCAAAGAACCACTTGAATAAAATGGCTTTTGCCTGGTGGCAGGGGTAGACCTGAAAAGGAGAGAACCCGGCTATCCTCAGCAGGCAGTTAAACAGCTAGGGTACAGCCACCAAGAAGGCCCTGGTTTGGGTTTCCACAAGTGTGTCTTTGAAAGTTGTGGTCTCAAAAGAAGGGCTTTCCCTACAGTTATTAATAGGCTTGGATATGGATTATGGTGTTTAATGTAATTAGTGAAATTCTAGATATAAATTTAGAAATGTCACCAAGAATTGTGTTGTTGTTGTTGTTGATTGAAAAACAAGACATAAATGAAGTTAAGAAAGAATTGATTTTAAATTTGATAATGGCAGCCAGGTTAGTGCTGCTTAAATATTGGAAACTGAATTGGGTTATGCAAAGGAATGAATGGTATAAAGAAACATAGAATATGGTAATTAATGATAAATTGACAACAGAAATAAAAATCAAAAAGGGGTAATAAAAGTAACTAAATATAATGAAATATGGGAAGATTTTGTAAAAGCAGTAGAGATTGAAGGTAAAGAGTGTAAGCCTATTCAAGAATAGATGAATTTCTGGAGGGCATATAGGTATAACTGAAGTATATTATATAATGTTAATTGTTATAATATATGAAATGAAATGGAGGTACTTATTGGTCTCCTGGGGGGTGGGTACAGTGTTAATTGTTATTCCTATTCATTAGTTGGTGTTTCACGTGCTTGTATTATTGATTTATTTTGAATGGGATATACTTGTATTTCAGTTGTATTTATGTATGTTTTTACTTGTTTCTGTAAAAAAAATTAAAAGGGGGACAAAAAAAGAAAGGCTTGGATAGAAGATGGTCTTTCAGATCAAAGTGACTGTTGAGCCCAATAAAGGAAAACTTTTCTTATTCTTTTCCCACTCTACTGGTAATCATGCCCAGATAAAAATGGTGATACAGCAGGTGACACAAAAGTATTTAGCATAGATCTCACCTGCAAACCCTTGACTGATTGTTGGAACTCCATTTTCTTGGGCCCCTTTCCAAGTAATATTGGTCCCCTAAAGACTGTACTGTACTTAGCTTTCTATAAGTTGACCATACTTGACAAATGCAGGATGTCAGATACTGGTGGCAGGCTTTTTTAAATTAATGAAACAGTACTTTAAGATTTCCTTAGATTATAAGGAATTTATTTCGTTTTTAAATCTTTCTGTTCGAACATATCTTGTTGATTATGTTATCCTTTAGAGGATAATCTTTTGACCTTTGCTATTGCTGGGAAAAATTAATGTTTATTGTTTTCAGAGGAATTTAAAAAAAATAAACATTTGGGAGAGTCGACAGTTTAAACATTTCAGCTTACCATGCAGTGGAAAACAGCAGTACATGAATTCTAATCAAGGCTTATTCATATATCATGGTAATGTGGCAATGCCAGATCTATCTATCTATCTATCTATCTATCTATCTATCTATCTATCTATCTATCTATTAGATTTATATCCCACTTTTTCTATTTTTAAAGAACACAAAGCTGCTTACATCATTCTCCTTCTCCTGCTCTCAATCTTATCCCCACAACAACAACTCTGTGAGGAAGGTTAGATTAAGAGTCTGTGACTGGCCCAAAGTCACTAATTTGGCTCCATGGCCTGAGTCCCAGATCTATGCTTTTAACCATTACTCCATACTGGCTCTCCAGTGTATTACACTATTATTCATACATATATTTATAGCAATATCATGTATCATTACTGTATAATAACTGTATCATGAAGCTCTGATCTACAGCTGACCATTTCAGATATTTCAGAAATGTTTAAAGGAACCATGCATCAATAGTCTTTCCTTCCTTATATTCATGTTTTTATTATTTTTAGGAATACAGCAGTTCTGAAAAAAATGTAGTAGTGAATGGATGAACCCAATAACAGAGCTGACCATGTTATGTACATCTCACTCCAAAGCCTGAGCATACCAAAAACAATTTATGACTTTTACACTATTCTGTGCCAATAGGATATCCTGAATTGAATTCAGACTATACATGCAAAGCTAACTAGAAACAATACAGCCAAAGTTAAAGCACTCTTAACTAATTGTTCCTTGATTTCGATAAAAGAATTAAGCATATGCTTAACAGATCTTTAGCAAAGAAGCCTAAATCTAAAATGCTTAAATTTGTCTGATTTATGGTAATTGTTTCAAGGATTTGGCCCTATGTTATTCATTGAAGAGAAGAAAAGTAAAATACTTACTGCTTTTTCTCTCAGCATTTCCACATGATCAGGCTTTGGCAATGGCATTGGCTGAGCTGAGACTTCTACTTTGGAGTATTTCTGATCTTTGGAGACAGTTTCTGGAATACCCAACACTAGGTCCTCTTTTTTAATTTTTTCCTGCTTCCTTGTTTCTGGAAGCACTTTGGCTTCTAGCTTTTCTTCACTAAATTGCTTTTCTACTGGTTTCTGTTTGGCCTCAGAAAGTGAAGGAAACTCCTGGGACAGTGGAAACTTGGTGTCATCCTGGAACGCTCTTGCCTGATCACCACCTATCTTGGAAGAAACTGAATCCATCATAGGTGCTTTTACTTTCTTTACCGCCTGAATTTTCTGTTCAACATTTGCAAGCTGATCAGCAGAATCTGCCTTCATTATTTTTGCCTCAGTTAGTTTTGAGTCTTCCTTTGGAATGTGATCAGCGGAAGGTATTTTGGTCAGTTTTGCCCGCTGAAATTTTGGATAGCTTTTCTTAATTTCATCATCTGAGCCTAATTTTGTTAATTTTTCTTGCTGAAGTTTTGGATCTTCTTTTTGAGCATCCTGTAAGAGCTGATCAGCAGATGGTGTTTTTGCCAATTTAACCTGCTGGATCTTTGGATCCTCCTTCCGAATTTGGTCAGCAGACGGTATTTTTGCCAATTTTACCTGGTGGATCCTTGGATCCTCCTTCCGAATTTGGTCAGCAGACGGTATTTTTGCCAATTTTACCTGGTGGATCCTTGGATCCTCCTTCCGAATTTGGTCAGCAGATGGTATTTTTGCCAATTTTACCTGCTGGACTTTTGGATCCTCCTTCTGAATCTGATCAGCTGACATGGTTTTAGTGATTTTCACCTGCAGCATCTTTGGATCTTCCTTCCGAATCTGATCAGCAGATGGTGTTTTGACTAATTTTATCTCCTGATGTTTTAGATCTTCCTTCTGAATGTTCTCAGAACTTTTTGTCATATCTTCCTTTGGCTCTTCCTTTGGCTCTTCCTTTTGAATTTCTTCCAATGGCTTCACAGTCGGTTTTGGCAATTCCTTTGGAATTTGATCAGAAGATGTTGTTTTTGCCAGTTTTTCTTGCTGAGGCTTTATTTCTTCCTTATGAAAACTCTCCTGGATTTTATCAGCAGAAATTACCTTTGCTAACCTGGCCTGCTTTGGATCTTCCTTTTGAATTTCTGGACCTCTTTTTGGTTTTTCCAGTACCTGTGAAGGTCTTGCTATAGTTTGCTGTGGCTGAGATGACTCAGCAGATTTAACCTGGCTCTGAGGAGCAGCTGATAATTTGGGTGATGATTTTGAAACAACAGGAGGTGTCATTTTGTTCATATCCCCAAGCTGTCCTGATAAGGCTCTTTGAGTCTGGCAGTTTAAACACAGCCATTCTTGTGCCTACAATGAAACAAAGAGCAACACATTATGAAAGCAGACATTTTATCTTATATTTATACTTAAGGGGGCAAACAATTTCTTCATTTTGCAAATGTTTCTGATGTGATTAGCTGACAAATAATTAGGGAAATTGGTCACAGTACCCTATCAATCATTTTTAGCAAAGCAAATTGCTGTATTTCATCTGGATTGCAATAGTTAGAGTAATTGTACATATATTTGAATATCATGTCAGAATAGACATCTTTTTCCATACAATTTACTTTTGAAAAGCTGTGTGAAATAATTTATAATTTAATAAATAAAGTATGACTCATCATTAGGGCAAGCCATGTTTATTATGTTCTATTTTCTTATTGGTTATAGTAACACACACAAGTCAAAAGGCTTTATAAGGATGAAAGCATTCCATTTCTCTCAGCCCTGCCTGCTTATTAAAATTTGTTTCCACTGATTAATCAACAACACATTAGCTGATTAATCTTTCAGCATCTTTTCTGCTGAAACAGAAGATGTTACAGCAACTGTACTGTTGTTTGGAAGCCCCAAGTCTGGCTCTAATGGAACTGCTCCTCCTGAGGCACTGCAGAACTATTTTCCAGCACACTCTCCATCATTTCTAGAGGGCATCTCCCATACAGGCTCATGCCCTAACAGGGTTCTTCATCCACATACTGTATATTTATAGTTCAAAAATAACAATGGCAGAGCTATAGTTCCATATTCTCCACATCTCTCTAGACATTTTTACAATGGGATCTATCTAGGCCATTGCTGTGACTTTGATTTGGAACGTAATTATATTTCCCCAGCTGACAGGCTACAGATCTACATAGAAGCACTTTATGCCAGAAGGTTGCTTAAGTTTAGTGAAGAAGCCACAGCTATTCAGTAATCCCAGCCAGTGAAGCAAATGTGTAAGGTGGGCTTCTGTTTCTCAGTTCCCGTATCAGGTTATACAGTGAAGTAACAAGGGTAAAACTTCTTTTCCAACATATGAAGGTTTTTTAAAAGTGACTTGTCAATGCATGTTAAGTTTTAAGAACTGTGTGCTCATTGGAAGGTAGCAAAGCAAAAGAAAGCCTTCATAACCTTATTATGTCATCCACCTCTAGGCTCTTGGTTCCCTGTCAGAATGGTTATCTGTAAAATCAGGTTTTGTACTATGAAGTCATAGGCCTCAGCTTTAGCCTTGTCTTTTCCTCAGTTAACCTAATGCCCTGAATACAAGCTTCTCTCCAGGTCTATCTTTTCACTTTGGGACCCACAAAATGGACACATACTGTTTCAAAATACCTGGAAGTATCACATCCCCCCTCAGTAGGTGAAATTCCACCTCTGAAACTTTGCAGCTTACAAATGCATGCATTTGTGCCAGCTGGCAATCTGTTTTACATTAAGCCACTTCTTATAACAGCTATGTATTGGAATTAGTTCTCTTATTTCAAGGGATGTGCCATACATTTTCACTTCCTTTCTAAACTTGCATTTTGCCTTTCTACATTTTTCTTCAATTACTATCTTGGATATTGATGACTGTCAAAGCAATGCATCTTTGAACTAGATATGCCCATAACAGGAAATATCACTGTGGGTAGTCACATAACATCTCCAGGGTGGAATCTTGAATATTCAGTAGGACTAGTGGAAATTGTTTAAACTAACTCTAAGTAAATGACTATTGTCTGATTTAACATCTGCAAAAACAGCACTGTGAAGACCCACAAAGAATGAGACAAGATTTTTTAGTCAAACAATAGACTTTATCAGCATTCAGCAATGTGTTGGACTACAACTCCCAGCATAGGAAAAGGACAGGAACAATAGGAATTGTAGTCCAAAATATTTGGATGAAGCAACAGAGGGAATGCTGATAGAGTCTATTGATTCACTGTAAAATGGTGACATACCTCATCAAATTCATTAGCATTGGAAATATCAGAATTAAAAGTATAAGCCAATTTTTAAAGTTGTTGTGCAGACTATTTAACTAGTCAGAGCTTAAATGTTCAGTGTTGGCATAAGTTCAAAATTGTTGGGTCTTTCACCAAGAGGTCTCAAATGACCTCTTTGTTAGTCTCTAGATTTCCAGTGAGACCATAGAAGGATCTGCTTCATTATTTATTTACTTATTATTTCATTTTTATGCTGCCTAGTAGCCTGAAGTGCCTGAAGACTAAAGCTTTAGTCTTTTTAGACTAAAAGATCTCTAAAACCCTATTTAACTCTTCACAAATATAACAATAAAATCCTTTGCCAATTTGGGTAGGATGTGTGTGTGTGTGTATAAAAATAAATGTGCTAACAATATATTTTGAAAAACCAAACAAAAACAATTAGGAAAATACCCAAGCTAGAAACATAGATTTAGGTCAACTGAAAACAAAGGTCTCTCAGGAACCTTTTTCCTTGGAGACTGATTGTTCAAATGTGCCAAATCTCTGAAGGGAAATGCTGATTTAGGTACACATTTTAGAAATTTATTTATTCTACCTTTTCCATTTTTTCCAGAGCAGCTTTATAGCCCACAGAAACAAGATACATAATACAGAATACACCAGCACCAAACTGAAATATCAAAAGCAACACACACCAGTTTTACTTGGGATTATCCATGTTTAAAGGCTCATAAAAAAGTTTTTATCTGCCATTGACTTCATAGTAGAACCAGATCCATGAAAACTAGGCGGTCACCACTGAGAAAGCACTCACTCCGATTTGCTCCCTACTTTGCTGCAAATGATTCAGATTTGCAAACAGAACTTCTGGTGAAGATCTTAATGTATGGGTGGGCTGACGTGGAGGCAGTTGTGCCCCGGGGTCAGGCTGCATAATTCTTTGAAGGTAAGCAAATGTACATTGATGAGATATGATCCCAATTCCATATCCTGGCTGCATTTTGACCAGCTGCAGTTTCCAGTAGGCCACTGCTGTTCCTTTCTGGACAGAATGGGCCTTGCTTCAGTTATCTGTGCTCCAGTGATATCCAGGCTAGATTAACACACTGTGTGTGGGACAGTTTTTAAACAAGGTCTGGAAAAATCATTTTGAACCATATGTGGTTGTTTGATTATTCTCATAGGTGCTGAGTGGTCGGGTCATGTGACATCTGAATTGTAGCAGCTGCCAGTGGCTGTCAGTGCATTTCTGGGCCCAAACTAAAGTGCTAATACTAAGCCTTTAAAACTCTGAACACTTTGGTATCAAATGTACTCATTTCTAGAGTAGATCTATTGAGACTTAGGTGGGATTGTGAAGTAGATTATACAGAATAATTTAGGCAAGTACTGCCTATGATGATTTAAGAGCTTTAACAAATGAATTTATGTTTTCTCTCAATCACTTTGAGGCCTTTAACAAATGAAACTATATTTTACATTAATGTTTTATTAAGTAACCTTTTTAAAATTTTATGCTATAAAATTTGCAAGGGAGTGAGGAAGAAAAGGAAGAAGTGGGAAATCACCTTCCATTTGTGAAAATGAGTAGGATCAAGTGGAACCCTCCATTCTGCTAACTGGATAGTCCTCCAATTTTGTCAAATTCTTCTGCAGCCCAGCATACCACTTCCCAGAGTGTTTCAGAGTGTTCCCCAAAACTCTGAAGTAGATTTCTGGGTGAAAAGAAGATGCAGGGGAAAGGAGAACTGGCAAAAATTGACTTCCCTCTCCCTCTTTGTACATCCAGTTTATTTTGTGTATTTATTTAATCTTTCTACCAAAGAATGACACTCAAGGTGGCTAATCATAATATTGAATTAAAACAAAATCTTAATTTAAAAGTATAATCATAAATTAAAAACTCAGTTAAACAAAGCTGTCAAAGAAATATGTTGCAACAATCATAAAATCTAATCAGCACCAGGGCAAAGTCCTGCTTGAATAAAATGCAATAGGCAGGGCAACAGAGAGGGAGCCATTCCAGGGCATTCCAGAGTCGGAGTAGCCACCAAGAAGGTTCTCTCTTGCATTCCCACCAAATGTACCTTCAGTGGTGATAGTCCTAAAAGAAGAGCGGCTGCCAAAAGATCTTAAGAGTTGGGCAGGCTTGTGAGAAGACATTTTTCTGGTAGCCCAGCCTGAAGCTTTTTAGGGCTTTATAGGTCATGACCAGTATTTTGAATTTTGCCTGAAAACATACCAATATCTAGTGAAGGTGCTGTAACAAGAGAGTCACAAGGTTTCTGTAACTGGCCCTTGTTGACTATCTGGCTATTTCATTCTGGGTCAGCTGAATTTTCTGAACAGTTTACAGAAGGCTGTTGGATGTTGAACACATTATACTAGCTGCACAATATTCAACCTGTGGATTATGCCTCAAAGGAAAATTATGGAATAAGCTACTGATCTGAAACAATTATAACACAGACACAAGTGTACAATGGAGGTGTAGGAGAGTTTCTACCATTTTCATCAGCACCAAAAGTCTAGAATAAAAATTGGTATCTAAAACAATAGAATTAATAAAAAGGGTGCACACACACACACACACACACACATGCGCACACATACTCTTACATAAATAAAAATATATAAATGGAAAACTCCCAGTGATCCAATTCATCTAATCCAACTGGATCCAATTCATCTTGTTAGGGTGGGGCAATAACATAGCCTCAAAAATAAAAGTTACAGTAATTCTATGAAGCAAGATTTGATCGCCGCTTTTTAAAACATCACTAAATGGCATTAGCCAGTTTCAACAAAATGCAACATTTAAATATCCTGCTGGAAATGAATTTGCTGAAGAAATGAGGGTGAAAGTAAGATAGAAAGAGACATACAGAAAGACTGCTATATCTATTTGCTACAATAAGCAATTTTGTTTTATGTAACTCGTGAACAGTAACTATGGTAACAAAATAATTTAAGAAAATATGCATCTGCAGCATTGACTAATCTGCTGTTAAAGCTTTCTCTTTGAAATCAGATGAGCTGTTGAAAGGATAAACCCCCGGAAGTGCCATTCCTTAGGGCTTGCATTTAAGGCAACATTTAGAG